GAAGTACAAGCAATCTGCATAAGCTTCCGGATTTATATCCACGATGGCTCCTCTTCCTGGACACTCTGCAACAGCCACAAGAAGTCTAAAAAAAATACCTGTATCATCCTTGCACAGTAAACATCAGTGTTTTCTTCCTTTAAACAAATTATGTAGAAGATGAAGGGAAACGTCTTGGCTTGATTCAGCAGAATTGTGATTTCAAAGCTTTATTATTCTTATGTTAAAATGGCCTGACCAAAGAAATTTTAACTAGCATACTTTAAGGTTTTTTCCAATTACTTTCTCATATATAACCCAAGTTCTTCATGGCTCTTCTAACGCATGTATTAAAAACTGGTGAAAAAGAAAACTTTATTTTATAAAGAAAATTAGTCCATAGTAAATTCCTCTTTTAAAACAAAGAATCAAAACCCTTAAACATATTTTCTGGTCTAGAAAGTAAAGCAGAAGCCAGCAAATTAATACCACTACAACACAAGAATTTATTTTCCCTTCTTCTCATCATTTAAATATTTTACAGATATACAGTGGTGTTGCAATTTTTGAAGTGTATCTTCTCCATCTAGTTTACCAACATTTGCCTCATGCATATGACAGTGTCCTTTTCCCTAATGGTTCATCTAGCTTTATTTTTCAGCATTTTACATTTATGTGTGTTGTCTCTGTTCTTAATTTAGTCATTTGGCAGAAATTCTTTTTCTTAAGGCCAGGGTTGTAGGTCCTTGGTTAGGTTTCACAGTGTCTGCTGACACTGTAGCCAAGCTTCTACAACAAATTCTCTTAAGGTCCTATTTGGACCTTGTCAAATCTGGGGTCTGAATTTCTTCTGTTTTATTCTGACATAGACCAGAAATATACTTAAACTTCACAGATTATAAAGTGGATCTGTTGCTTAAATAAAGTTATAAAATGTTGAATGTCTTCAAATTTTTCCATCAGTTATTCCTAGAGTTACTTACGAGTGGAAGCCATTCTGCCTCATCTATTTGCAGAACACTACACTGACCCTTTCTGACCTTTCTCTTTCAATTTTGCAGATTTACAGTATTAGTGAAGGAAAATTCCTTCTGTTTAGTATCATGCTTCATTTCTTTTAGTACCAATTCATCAAATATCTTCAAACTAATTTACAGAAGATTAAATTAATTTTTAATCTAGGTTTCTATGACAATTACTAGTGTGATACAAGACTAATAAAGTACATGACAGAGAAGTAAACATAAAAACACTCTTTTTTTCACACAGATTCTTTCCTCTGCTGATGAATTGACGAACACCAATTAAGAGAAGAAAGATTTTGTTAAAATCAAATCAGGCTTCTCTTTCCTAGTATTATGTTCCAAAATCATACATTAGTCAGAAAGAAGGTTCTCTTTCTTGAAATAACAGTAGTGCCTTTCAAGGCCATTTTTATGGGTCTGATTCCAAAAAGATTATTTTGCATGTTCGCTTTACATTCAGCTACACTCAATTGTTTCATTACTTGGTACTAAACACAATGATAGCATCAATTGACACTTTTGAACCAGGAAACATAAAGAATTATAAACCCAGTATAAAGAATTAAATGATGCAAGTGTTACTGAGCCACAATTTTATAATTAATTGTCTAAAATGTGAAGACTGTATGTTTGATTTTTGGTCATCACAGAGCTGGTTTGATGGATTGTCGCCTAAACAATAATTGCAAGAAAATCAACAGTGTAGTTATAGCACTTGAAAGAGAAATCATATAGTAAAAAATATATATATATAAATAAGAAACAACTCTGAGTGGAAGGCTCTAGCCAGAAAAATTAGTCTGCACACAAACTGCTTGTAGTCCCAAGTGGCTTTCATTACCAAACCAAAGTCACATCTAACTCTATATATGAGCTATCACTTGGCACATTAGCTCTGCAGGACTTATTTTGTTATTAGAGAATTTCAGTAGTTCTCATCTGTTTATAACAGCAATGGCCTAAAGGAGGCAGGCAAGTTCTTAGCAGAGGTAATAAGTGAAAATTACTGCAAGAAACAAATTTCTACATGAAAGTTCATCCTCCCCAGAGAACCTGCACTCATTAACCAGAGAATAAAGAGTGTAACTTCAAATCTGCTGTCCATTCATGGAGGTAATTTCGGAAATCTCAAGAAAAATCTGCATTTTCCTTAACTGAAAACAGATCAGGCATTTGAAAAATGAAGCTAACTCAAAAGACAAGTCATCATAAATTATAACTGAATGAGAATTTTTTTCTGGTTACTATTGAACTCTGAGAGCTATTAAGTATTTTTAAAAAATGGCAATAACTAATGCCACATAACTACATTAAGAGCAAGGTATCTACAGGAAAACTAATCACAACGCCCTACAATACCTCAGTGCTACTCACTGACACAGTAAGTACACCACTATATACTCAAACACTGTCAACTGATCAACTAAGAGCTGCTTGTGGTTTGGGCCCAACACAACAACAAAGAAACACTCGTGGGATGGGGAGGACACAGGCCAATGAGAGGAGGGATCTTCACTGATCAAGGTCCTGGGCAAAACAGACTCAACTTGGGGAAAAATAATAATGTAATTTCACACCAATCACACCCCCAGGACACAGACACACCCAGAGCAGGGCTTGCAGATGTTACCCCACCCCTCCCTTCTTCCCGGGCCCCAATCCCTTGGTTCCCGGTTTCTCTCCCTCCTTCCCCCCAGCGGCACAGGGGGACAGGGGATGGGGTTTGGAGTCACTTCACAGGCTGGGGGTTCCTGCTGCTCCTGCCTCCTCAGCAAGAAGGATTCCTGACAGTCCTGCCCTGCTTCCCCACGGGGTCCCTCCCATGGCACAGAGGCCTCCACCAACCTCTCCTTCCTGAGTCCTTCCCACCAGGTCCGGAGCTGCTCCAGCCTGGGCTTCCCACAGAGTCACGGGGGCTTCGGGAACAGCCACCTCCCCTGGCCCGGGGGCTGCTGCAGGGAAACTTCTGCTTGGGCACCTTCTGCCCCTTCTTCCTCACCAACCACCAGCACTGCTCTGCCTCTCCAGCTCAGCTCTTCTTTCTTTAAGTGCTTGCTCTGCTCAGCTCTTATCTCAATTTTTTTGTATGTTGATTGCTGAGGTGCATCTCTTGTCCCTCTAATGGCTCCTTGGCTGGTTTTGGAGCAGGGGCAGCTACTCAGCTTCTTCCTGGAGCCAGCCCTGGGGCCATTCCTCCACTACTAAATATCCCACCAAACCAAACCAAACCAGCACACAGCTTGAGCTGAAAAACCTGTCCTTTTGAAAGGCCTTAATACCTTCCTCATAAAAGCACTGACATCTCAGTATATTTAAGATTTTGTCTGAAAAAAAAATCCATCCATCAGTATTAAACTACTGCTATTATCCTGTTTTGTGACAGCTTCAAAGGCAGTATCAAGAAGAAGAAGCTGAGCACAACACTCCATTGGGAAGGTAAACCTACCCTGAGTCACTATATGAACTTAATCTGCCACTCTCCCACCCTGGGGACATTTTACATGATCCCCAAATCCATAAATATTGAACTCTTACTTACTTCTTGCATGGAGCTGCAGGATCCCTTCACTAAAAATCTTCAGGACTCATCAGCACTCTCTTCCAACTTCATTACCATAGTCATCCTCCTATTGATCTATGTTCCACAGGCTACAAAATTGCTCTTTTTCTTTACTGTAGCAAACAACTACTTTATTGCTCTCTCTTCTATTAATAGATCCTCTAAAACACTGGTAACAATTCTTATTCTGGATAGCCTAAATGATTTGTATCTAACTAAGCCCCAGCAATTGCTCTCAACTTGAATTTAGCTTTGAAGCCAGCTGCTTATCTTTCTGTTGTAAATAAGAGTGGGAGTGCCAGAAAGCTTCTCAGTATAGTAAAATTACAGTCTTGAAAACTGACATTTTGCCACTTGATAACTTTACATTCAAAAGAACTAAACAAGATACATACAGAGTAAAATAATTATATTTACACTAGAATGCAAGCAAGACAGAGTATAAGAATGGTTTAGTATTAAAAAACAACTTCTTGTGTAGTTGATTAGGTATGAGGTTAATGCTGTTTAACACAGGAAAGAGGAATGAGGTCTGTTTCTAAAATGCTGATTTTTAAACTTCTGTGCTATGCTATTTTACTTCAAATTGTAAAGGACTTGTTATTTAGGACATTAAAAAAAAAAGAAGTTGTAATATCAAATTCCAACATCCAAATTAAACTTACGTTGTTTAAAATTCTTCAGACTATAACATTCAATTATGTCACCAAGAAATGAGTGAATTTACAGGCTGTCTCCCCAGATATTTCCAGTATCAGAGACTACAGAATTCAACATTTGGAACAGTAGTTCAGCTGCTACTATAACATTGTTAATTTGTAATTCCTACAGTTGTTAAAAGCAATGTTGGGAATGTCCCGCTAAAATTTGTGTAAAGTGAGGTAAAATTATCCTTAGAGAAACACCTCTCTAAATAATAACTCTAGAAACATTTCTATTTCAGTACTGGTTTAGGTTTCCAATTTTTATAAGCATCTCTTAATTTTCTACCTATTCTATGTCTTAGAAAAATATCTTCTTACTAAGAGAAAATGTAAGTCTGGCAGAATAAAGAAATGCAACATCTCTTCTTTTTTATACCTATGGAAGAGTAAAAGTCATTGAAACTGTCTACAACATAAATGCCAGTATCTGAGCTAGTCATCTTGGGTGCCTTTTGATGTCACTGGACAAAACCAGACATTCAGAGGACATGATTTATCTCATGTCAATACACATACCTGAAAAGGTCACAGGAATTTTCTTCTGAATGTGTCAGCTTCTCTCCATACACAGTCTAGATAAAGCTAAACTAACAAGATTGCTATGTATTGCAAATATGAATTGGTTGCAGTGATGAATGATAGCTGTCACAAGAAAATCTACCACATTAGGAACCTTCAAAAGACAAGATAAAATACACAAGGCAGGTGCATGGAAGGGTAAAATATACTAACTTGATTACGCTTTCTTTGCTCTTGCATGGCTTCTGAAACAGCCTCAGCAATCTCCTCTTTGTGTCTGTCACATTCTGCTTCCCACATTTTTCTTTCTTCTGCATGAATCTCCTCCATCTTTCTTCTCTCCTCCTCTACTGCTTTTAGAACAGCCTCCTGCACTACTTCTTTTTCAGCCTTTGAAAAAAATTAAGCACAAATAAATGACAAAAATAGCAACATAAGTGCCTAACTCAATATGTATTACCTCTTATAATGAAGTATGTGACCTCACAAGATATGGGACATGAATATTTTCACTTCTGAACTTTGAGCTTGAATTTATCTTAAGGTGCTACCAAGCAGGTATTATCACTGGACAAGAACTTTGTAGTTACAGAACGTTACAAGCAAAGATCTTAAAATTCACATCTATAGAGAACACAATATATCTAAACTAGTTTGCTTAATGGCAACACACAAAAAACATGCAGCAGAAACCATGTAAGAGTAGGTACCTCATAGGCCTCCCTAGACTGCTTGAGATTCCCTTACATGAGTTATTTCTGCTCTTATCTACGATTATCTAAAATCTAAAACCAGCCTGAGTCTTTTTTGTGGCAAAGTAGCCAAAACATACTTAAAATATACATGTCTTCGCTCCCAGAGTGCCTTGGCTATGTATTCTACAAGTGCTGTTTCACTGGGGTTTTTTCACTGGTCATATTCAACCATTACATGAAATCTTCAGAAGACACACATTGAATTTGACAGTAGAAAGGACAGCTCTACACATGGTGAGCCACACAAATATACTTAGCAGCAAGACACAAATTTATCATTCCACAGTATCTACAAATAAAAAATGGCAGGCTGAAGTTCAAAATAAAAAAACATGGGCTCACAAAACGCACCCATACACCCTTCCATTTTAATAAGCATGTATATCTTTCCAATGCCCTTTGTCAGTGATTATGAAACTGGTCAATGGCAAAAATTACTGGGTTCCTCAGATACCTCCACTTATAAATATTTTTTTCCTTACAATTCAGTGGGACTTGATTTTTTTATTTATTTAGACATTTATAGAATATAATAAAATTGTGCTCTATTAAATTAAGGTATTGTATTATACACACATTTTCCCCTAGATATCAACCATGTAACAAGACGTTTCTTGTGTTACTTAATGTTATTTAGAGAGTTGATTATAATAAAGACTAACCAACTGTGTTAGGTAACATATATCACTCGTTTTCCCAGAACATAACATGCAACTGAAATTTTCTACTGGGCTTTACATCAGCATTAGAAATGAAACATAGCATAGCATTCACAAAATGAATGTCCTAACCCCAGTGCACTAAATACTGAAATAGACTGAAGAAATAATATTTTTATAAGTGCATACTCACTTTCAGTCAAACATCAACTTAAAATAATTGAAAACTCATTATATTGCCCAAACTTTTATACAATTTATTAAATAATTCTTTACTCATTGCAAATTACCATATTTAACCAAAGGTAAATAAGACACAGTGCTAATCGTCTTATTAAGATCATCAGATGACTCTGCTACCTTAGCTCTTCCAATCAAGATGCATTGATGTTGTTAACTGAAAGACCAGATCTTTAAGTAACACCAACAACTGAACTCCAATATTGTGGCGTCTTGTGACAAACTAATTCTGAGGCTACCTTAGATGGAAATGACATAGACTCTCTGGAGTAAGGCATAGGATAGAACATATCTGTTCATTATTTACAGACTAGCTTCTTTTAAGCTAAATGAGAACAAAGAGATTGACAGATTTGCTTATAAAATAAGGAGTTGCTGAACTTGGCATTTGTAACACACATAAAATTCACATATCATGTCCATAACTTAAAAAGAGATACCTTTGCAGCAGCCGCCACAGCTTCTTTACTTCTTTGTCTTTCCTCATCCAAACATTTGTCAAGTACTTCCTGTAAATGTTACGAAAAATTAAACTGCAATACACAGCAGAGGAGTGGCTTAAAATAATTTCAAACAAAGGCCTTGAGACAGCCTCCTCTTCCTGTCAGTGACTGTCATGGGATCATTCCCAATGATCTCCATGTTGCAGATCAGGCCCTCTTTTTTTGGTAAATAAAAGCAATACCTTCTGTTTTTGTGACTGCTGCATCAAAGCTTCTTCTATCTTCTCTGACAACAATTCTTTCTCTGCTTCCAAAATGTCAAGAAGTCGCTGATGCTATTGGGAGAAAACATTTCTCTTAATGGAACCACAGTCTGTTAGTAAAACAGACAAAAAGAACTCATCCAAGCTACTTATGTTTGTCAGTTGCTTACAAAATGACTTAAAAGGTAGATTCCATTAATGACATACCCAGCACTTCTTTAATTGATTTCATGACATGAAAAAAATTCCATAATAAGAAATGTTTCATTTCCTGATTATCTAATATTTTTTTTCTCAGTCTGAACAGCATTAGGAAAGAAGTTGGAAAAAGTCAATATATAAGAGCAACACTTAAAACATTTCTAAAGATGGGCTAAGTAACACTACCCTTTAAAAACTTCATTTAAACAGCTGCAGAATTTAAATTCTGCTTGTACTATGTTTTACTTACATGTATAGACAGCAGAAGGCAAATTTATTTTTTTCAACCATTTGTGATGCCATGAACTTTGAAAGCCAGGAAATGACAGCAAAAGGGAATGCTGCTTTCTTCTCATTTTCTTGTAAGCCAAAATATTTTTTCAGGGAGAAAATGAACACTGAAATAAAGTGACCAGGTAGTCTATATGTATTTGTAGAATCTGTCACTGTTCTTTAATACAACCCATTTATCTACTTTTCACTAAACCAAGTAAAGCATTTGAAATATGTGGGGTTTGTCTGTAAGAGCGAAGTTGATTTCCAAACCTAAGATTTATTACTGGAAATTATCGGGCAGGTATTTGTTACAAGATAATTGCTAGCAAATCATTACACCTTCTTACATGTTATTTAAGAAATTATATATTATAACCTTAAAGTATAGTATTGATTCATAATAAGACTTTACAAGATCATCCAAAGAAAAGTGTAACAGAAGAGTTTTATATTAATAGAAGTGTATATAACGAACATAAAATTTTTACACAAGCACTTTTGCAGGCAAATGCCTCTTTCACCAGCATTTCTAAGAAACAGTAATTTCTGTTTCATGAATTTTATTACGTTTTAATTATAAGTGTCTCTAACACCAGCTAGAAATACATTACCAAACGGCAATACTATGTTCTGAAAAATATTTTTTCATTTGAAGAATAGAATAGAAAGCTTCTAGACGGCTTTATAAAATAAAACACCTATCTGCCCTTCCAGGATAAACATTTAAAGAGGCATTTCCTTGTGAATTTACTTAAAATAGGTCTAAATGGAGCAGACATATTCTAATGGAAAACACCTGTGGAAGGAGTGGTGAAATTCACATCATGGTTATACTTAATGATGTGTAACTAACTTCTCTTGTGGACTGAGTATTTTCAGACATTGCTTTTAACTATCAGGGCACTTGTAGAAATTATTTTTTCCCAGTAACTCAAAGATGAAACAATAAATGGATTTTGTTAGTTAAATTTTCTCTGTGACTCTTCATTTGACTGACTACATAGAATACAAATCTGTTATTTCACTTTAATTTGAATGACACAACAAAAGACAACTGAGAATATTTTAACAGACATGTACTGAATCAAAGTTTACTACTGTCAATTAAAAGACTGAAAAACTGTTTGCTTCAGTCAAGAACCAGCGAGGGACTTTCCAAGCATAGCTTGTTAGAGAAAAGCCTCTCTACCTTTAAAACACCTACAACAGAATGGCAGTCAACTTCTTCAGCAAGATTAGAATTTCTACTGTAAGACTCTCAGCTTTTCAATTCCAGTTTGACTCAGATCATCAGATTTCTCCATTAGATATGAAGACTGTGTATGCAAAACAAGACTGCTTGGTAGGGTACTATTGGATAGAGTCCTGGAGGGAAGAGGGGCCCAAAAAAGCTGGTCAATATTAAAGGATCTTTTCCTCCAAGTCCAGGATAAATGCATCCCAACAAAAAGGAAGGCAAACAAGAATGCCAGGAGGCCGGCATGGATGAACAAGAAGCTCCTGGATACACTTAGATGTAAAAATACAGTCGACAAAGGGTGTAAGCAAGGATAAGTAGCCTGGGAGGAAGAGAGAAATTGTCCAAGTCGCCAGGGATCAGGTAAGCAAAGCTGAAGCCCAGAAAGAGTTACAACTGGTCAGGGACACCCAGGGTAACAAGAACAGCTTCTACAGGTACATCAGCGGTAAAAGGAAGAGCAGGGAAAATGTGGGTCCTCTTTGGAAGGAACCAGAACACCTGGTCACATGGGATATGGAGAAGGCTGCGGTACTCAATTACTTTTCTGCCTCAGTCCTCACCAGGAAGGGTTTTTGCCACCCTATCCAAGTTGCAGAAGGCAAAGGCAGGGACTGGGGGAAAGATGATCCACCCACTGCAGGAGAAGGGCAGGGTCCCTCCGTGACTCCTGAGGGAACTGGCAGATGAAGTTGCAAAGCCCCTTTCCATGATACTTGAAAAGCAATGGCAGTCTGGTGAAGTTCCTGCTGTCTAGAAAAGGGGAAAAATAACCCCCATTTTCAACAAGGGAAAAAAGGAAGACCTGGGGTCGCACCTCTTCTGTGTCTGGCAAGATGATGGATGAGATCCTCCTGCAGGTTGTGCTAAGGCATGTGGAAAATGAGGAGGTGGTTGGTGGCAACCAACAGGGCTTCACTAAGGGCAATTCCTGCCTGACAGTTTGATGGAGTCACAGTGTCAGTGGACAAGGGGAGAGCAAGTGATGTAACCTACCTGGACTTGTGCAAAGCGTTTGACACCGTCCCACATGACATCTCAGTCTCTAAACTGGACGGAGATGGATTTGATGGATGGGCCCCTCGGTGGAGAAGGAGTTGGCTGGATAGTCTCACTCAGAGTTGTGGTCAACAGCTCAATGTGCAAATGGAGACCAGTGACGAGTGGTGTTCCCCAAGGGTTGGTGCTGGGACTGGTGCTGTTAAACGTTTTTTGTCAGTGACAAAGACAGTGGGATTGAGTGCACCCTGAGCAATTTTGCCCATGACATCAAGCTGTGTATGGCGGTTGACAAACTAGAGGGAAGGGATGCCATCCAGAGAGACCTTGACAAGCTTGAGAGGTGGGCCAATACCAACATCAATAAAGTCAATAAGGCCAAATGCAAGATCCTGCACCTGGGTCACAGCAATACCCAGCATTAATACAAGTTGGACAGAGAATGGCATGACAACAGCCCTGAGGATAAGGACTTGCTGGTGATGACTGATGAGAAGCTCAACATGAGCTGGCAATGTGCACTTGTAGCCCTTTGGTAGACATATAATCCTGAAAAACGCAGATATTGGCACCAAAATTTTTTTATTGTATGGAAACCCAAAAATTTCTGATCTTTAATACAGTTCTGAAGTTAAAATGTACTTCCATCACTACAAAGAAGAGTGCACAGCTAAATCCAGAGATCCACTCTTTGTACAAAACAAGAAAATGTTATTGGAATTGGCTGGTTATTAGAGTAATAATGAAGTTTAACAACACCTGGATGCATCAGTTCCCTGGAGAAATAGCATACCGAACAGATGGAAATACAGACAGCAGTAAAAACTAAATCATTTTGCTTCTTCTGAAAACAGAAAGGGACATACACCACTTTTGCTTGCCAATTTGACTAAAAACATGGTGCCTAACAAGTAAGCAGTTATTAAAATGAAGGCTGCTGTGATCACTTAATTGAGCTTAGGAATTCCTGTTTCCTTGGTATGGTATTACGTTTGGAACTTTATGAAATTCAGAGAGATTCAGTAAGAACTGTATCAAGGACTGTGTCTGTCATGGGCTGGGCCTAACATGACAACAAAGAAACAGCCATGTGGCTGCTCACTTAACTCCCCACACACACACACTCTGGGATGAGGAGGACAAAGGCCAACTAGGCCAAAGCTCCTGGGTTGAGACAAAGGACAAGGAGGGATCTTCACTGATCAAGGTCCTGGGCAAAACAGACTCAACTTGGGGAACAATAACACTGTAATTTCACACCAATCACACCCCCAGGACACAGACACACCCAGAGCAGGGCTTGCAGATGTTACCCCACCCCTCCCTTCTTCCCAGGCCCCAATCCCTTGGTTCCCGGTTTCTCTCCCTCCTTCCCCCCAGCGGCACAGGGACAGGGGATGGGGTTTAGAGTCACTTCACAGGCTGGGGGTTCCTGCTGCTCCTGCCTCCTCAGCAAGAAGGATTCCTGACAGTCCTGCCCTGCTTCCCCACGGGGTCCCTCCCATGGCACAGAGGCCTCCACCAACCTCTCCTTCCTGAGTCCTTCCCACCAGGTCCGGAGCTGCTCCAGCCTGGGCTTCCCACAGAGTCACGGGGGCTTCGGGAACAGCCACCTCCCCTGGCCCGGGGGCTTCCACAGCTGAGCAATCAGAGCCCACTGGCAGCAAATCCTCTGGCCACAACATCCAAGTCCACTGGCCAAGTTCCCCCCTCCTGGCACCTTCAGGGAATGTTCCACCACGTTCCTCCATGAGTGCAGGGGCACAGCTGCCATCTCGCCCTGGGCTGCAGGGAAACTGCTGCTTGGGCACCTTCTGCCCCTTCTTCCTCACCAACTACAGGATCTTCACCCCACCACTGCATTCCATTGCTCCAGCACCACTCTTCCTTTTACTAAGTACTTGGTCTGCTCAGCTCTTATCTCAGTTCTTTCCTATGTTAATGGCAGAGGCGCATCTATCGTCCCTCTAATGGCTCCTTGGCTGGTTTTGGAGCAGGGGGAGCTACTCAGCTTCTTCCTGGAGCCACTCATGGGGCCCTTCCCCCAGTACCAAAAATCCTGCCAAACCAGCACCTTATCTGTGTATGAAAACACAGTAGTTCCTATTTTTCAAGACACTAGAGGTAACTATTTGTTAGCAGATTTAGAATACTTTAAAATAAAAGCTAATGACTTCTAGCATATATTGATGCAACTTCTTTTACATTACATAGCATCCTCAGTTTGTAATTTCAGGGTTGGAAGCCTCTTGTGGATACCGTGGCATGTCCTTTCTTATTATAATGTAAATGTTTATTCATGTGGATTAATCCTTCCATAAATGGTTACCTTCATATCTGAACTTCCATGAGTTTATAC